TTGGAAATTGTTTAAAGTTAGATAATGCTTTTTAACATGTAAAGATCACCTTCAAGTAACATGCCATGCTCTAGAACTTCCCACAAGTAACACAGATCAGTAGCACACAGCTGGGAACAACCCCCAGTGATGCTCCAGAGAATCAGGCACGCTGTTACCCTGCAATGCTCCTCTGTCTTAAACAATGTTATTATTCCTAACTCATCAGAACTGTTGTGGWAAAGAGTAATGGATACCAATTGAGAGAAAATAAATTTAAGTTAAATGCAAGGAAGAAATCTATTGTTAGGGTGGTGAGACACTGGMATAGGTTGCCCCGGGCAGTTGCAGATGAGCCAACAGYGTTCAAAGCCAAGYTGGATGGAGCTTTGAGCAATCTGGTCTAGTGGAAAGTGTCCYTGTCCATGGCAGCAGGATTGGAACTGGATTATATTTAAGGTCCCTTCCAACMCCYCAGATTTCTASGATTTTCTGATYATAYATCAAGCTCCCCCTCACAAACGTAATAACCTCTTGCCCTGTACAAGACTAAAGTCAATGTTACAGACAACTGTACACTTCACCCTTAACTCAGCCCAGAACTAGTTTGTTATCAAGCACTAAAAGCATATTTTAGTCTAAAACACTAATAAAATATCAACAAGCTGGTTCTAAATACTATGAACTTCTGCACTCCATCACATCAGCAGTAGCAGCAGCTGAYACTGCAGCAGATAAGCAACTGGAGTCAACAGGTCAGAGAATATTCACCTTTTTTATAGCCAAAATCTTCTTCTGACGTTTGGCTTTCATAACCGCATAGGCCTGCCGCTTCTTCAGCAGGCTCTCGGGCACAGAGGGCACCTTCTTTACTCTACATGAAAACACAAAGAAGTTTTTAGCTGATCAAAAGAAACTCAAAGACATTACATATGACAAACATCAAAACGCTCACACAGAGCATGTGTGCAGGTCTTGCTGCCTTGAGCCACTTCACTGTACCTTCCTCACTGTTACTGTTCCCAGGCCTCGAAATGTGTCCCAGGACAGTTCCCTGGAACTGAACTGGGTGATTTTCTGTYCAGAACCTGCAGCATTCACATTTTACACCAGACAGGGAACTCTGACAGATCACCCAGAGCATCACACCTACTCCTGTTACTGCGGAAACTTGTCCTACTTTGCTACAACTGGGAACAAAATCGTTTCAAGAGTTTCTATCTGGTCAATGAACATTTCAACAGCTGTTTGAAGAAAAGCTTATTTGGCAGTTCTGTGAAATTCATTTAACTGAAGTCTTATCTTTCTGGGTCAGGTTGAAAGAGACCACGGTGGGTCATCTGGTCCAATTTCCCTKTTCAAGCAGGGTCATCCCAGAGCACATGACACAGGACTGCATCCAGATGGGTTTCGATTATCCCCGGTGAGGGAAACTCCACAACCTCTGAGCACCATCTTCCCAGTGCGTGGTGACCCGCACAGTGAATAAGTTTCTCCTCAACTTCAGGCGAAACTTCCTGTAAATCAGCTCCTGCCCCGTTCCCTCCTGTCCCGGAGATTTTAAACTCTTAGACGGACAAAAGCTGTCAGAACAGTTTTTACAGAGCCACAATCACCCTGGCGAGCGCGTACACCAGCCCGGCCGGCAACCACTCCCTGCTCCTGCCCCAACACACCCCTCCCCGCCCGCCCAGCCCGGAGGTACTCGCCGCCCTGGCCACACATTCAGGGCGGACACGGCGCTCGGGTCTCCTCTCCCTCCCCATCCCGCCATGGGCCAGCGGCCGCAGTCGCCGCCTGCGGAAGGGCCCAGCCGGTGGCGGCTCCATCTCCGCTACGCCGGTCCCTCCCCTCCCGCCGCCCCCAGCCCCGGCGGAGGTGCGGCGGCCCTGAGGGCGGTGTGGGGGGCGGTGTGGGCAGCGCTGGAGCAGCGCGGTAGCCGCGGATGGCGGCGGATGCCACCGGGCGGAACGGGACTCACTCCTTGTCCGCCATGGTCAGCGCCGGAAGAGAGGGGCGTGCGCGTGCGCGGCGCGCTCTTAGCTCATTCGCCCGCGCAGGCGAGGCCCTGCCCGCCAGCAGGACCCCGGGTTTGGATGTTCGCTGTTGTGCCTGATCGCAGTGCGAGAGTCGGGGTGTCCGGCGAGTGCCTGAGGTAAAAGTGTCTGGGAACTGCTTCCGCCCGGCGGGGCCGGAG